CTTATGAAAAAATAATTTCCAAATTTTATTTTTGAAAAAATAAGAGAAATTAATTTCATTTGGAAAAAGATTTTATTTGGTTTAAAGTATCAAATCAACGTGTATATATACTATATTACGATTTATATTGAACTTTGTTATCTTTAACTTAAGCTAAAAATATTATTTCCAAAAATGTTTTACTCACCCTTATGTTTTAGACGGGAAAACGGGGAAAATCAACCAAATCTTAAAATTAAGCTTGATTGTCCAAATCTTCAAGATGGGCATGGATACTGTTAACGTCGAGGTTGAAATCGACAAAATTTGATGTGGTTCAGGTGGGTTATTTGAATTGAAAGCTGGTTTGGGCTGTAAAATTCAGAGTACGCGAGTTTAGGTATGAAAATACCTTCGAGAAATAGTTTGGGTTGATTTTCCCCGTTTATGAAATTGTCAATTGCATAATACATTCATACATAAATTAAAAATTGAACAAATATAACATGTTATAAAATAAAAATCATGAATAAAATTAGGGGAATTTGCATAACTAACCTTTTTATGATATCATTTTCTACAAATACCTTCTCTAGGTGTCAATTTTCAAAAATACCCTCTTCAATGTACAAAATGACTAAATTACCCTCCTTTATTATAACTCATGATGAAGAAAAGAATATTTTTACAGCAAAAAGAATATTCTTTCCAGAAAAAGAATATTCCTTCCGAAAAATTTCCCGCAAAAATATTTTCGACAAAAATTTTCCCGCCAAAAATTTCCGACAAAAATTTTCCCCCCAAAAAAATTTTCGACAACAAATTTCCAGCATAAATTTTTCCGCAACTCATTAAAAAACCTTGTAGATATTTTTAAATCCCTTAAAAAATCTGTTAAAACCCTTGTAAATCTTTTAAAAGTCATCTAAAACCTTTCAAAACTTGAGTAAACCTTTTAAAACCATCATTTTATAACATTTATAAACACTTGAAAATCCCTTTAAACCCCTTATAACCGTGATAAAACCTTTAATAAAAACTTTTGTAAACTTTTAAAACCCTTTAAAAACCCTTGTAAATCCTTAAAAATCTTTTTAAAAAACTTGTAATACCTTTAAAAGTTGGGGAAATTTCAAAAATACCCCTTTTCATATACCTCTTTTTAAAAATACCCCCTTTTCAAACTTTATCAAAAAACCCACTAAAAATGTTGAAATTTATCCAAATATGTGTGTAAGCTTATAAATATATACACAAATTACCTTTATATGTGTATAAAACTTTATATACCTTTCATAAATAGCGTAAAAATTAATTATAAAAACCTTATAAAAACCTTATAAAAACCGTATAAACACTTTTAAAAACCTTTTAAAAACCTTTTAAAACTTATACAAACGATTTAAAACTATTTAAAACAGTTTAAAATATTTGTATCGAATCTCGCAGTAGTAGTTATTATATAGAAGTACCTTATAAACTATATAAAACTTTATAATTTTTTATATTTATAAAGGGGTATTTTTGAAAATGGAAAGATAAATGGGGTATTTATAAAAAGGGGTACACCAAAAAGGGTATTTCTCAAAAATTCTCTTAAAAGTTTTTGTAAACCTTTTAAAAACCTTTGTACACTTCTAAAACCCTTTAAACACCTTGTAAATCCTTTAAAACTATTTTTAAATCTTTGTAAATATCTTTTAAAATCCTTGTAAATCCCTGTATGCTTTAAAAACAATTCTAAATCTTTTTAAAAACACTTGTAAATCCTTTTAAAAAACCTTTAAAAATCCTTGTAAATTTTTAAAATCTTTTAAAAATCCTTGTAAATCCTTTTAAAATTGTTATCAACTTATAAAAACTTTTAAAAACCATTGTAAATCATTTAAAAACCATTCAATAAACTTTGTAAGCCTCTAAAACCCTTTAAAAACCATTACAAATCTTTTAAAAACCATTTAAAAACTCTTGTAAATCCCTTTAAAAACCCTTGTAAAACCTTTAAAAAGACCCTTTAAAAATCCTTATAAACCCTTTAAAAAAATTTGGCGGGAAAATTTTGTAAATTTATTTTTTGCGGGAAAATTTTTGTGAAAATTTTTTTGGCGGGAAAATTTTCTCGAAAAAGTTTTTGGCGGAAAAATATTGGCAGGATAGTTTTTGGCTGGAAATTTTTGGAGTGAAAACTTTTGGAAAGAATATTTGTTCCTTTGGAAAAGAATATTCTTTTAAGTAGGGGTAAAATGACCATTAAAATGGCAAAAATAAGGTATTTTTAAAAGAGGGTATCATAAAAAGGTTATTGGTATCAATTTCTCATAAAATTATGTATTTAGTTAAACTCAAAATCTAATTTATTTGTCAACTGTAAATCCTAATTCTCCTTGATAAATAACCTTGTTTAATTGTAAAACATAAATCTTACTCCTCTTTAATAAACCCAAACCGATAAATAATTTAGTTTAATTATAAAATCTAAACTATAATGCAGATTTATAAACTCAACATATAACCCTTATAATTGTAAAACCTACAACTTGCTAAACCAAAAATTAGGTTAATAGTTGAAAGATAATTTTTGATAAATACCCCTTTTGGTGTACCCCTTTTTAAAAATACACCAATTTTCTATTCATTTTTAAAATATCCCTTTTCAAATATGAAAAATTGTAAACTTTTATATAGTTTATAAGGTACATCTAGATCATCATTACTATTGGGAGACTCAATAAAAATATTTATAAAGTTTTAAAAAGGTTCTAAACAGCATTTATATGACGTTTATAAGGTTTTTTAAAAAATTTATATGTTTTTTAAATAATTTTTAAGACGTTTTAAAAGGTATTTATATGGTATTTAAATTTACACACATAGAAAGATAATTTGTGTCTAAATATATAAGCTTACACTTTTTTTTAATAAATATCAATTTTTTTACTTTTTAATTATCAAAAATACCCTTTTTCCATACCACTTTTTAAAAATACCCCTATTTTAAACTTTATTAAAAATAACCATTTAAATGTTGAAATTTATCCAAATGTGTGCGAAAAATTACAAATATACACACAAATTACCTTTATATATGTTTAAATTTTTATATATCTTTCATAAATAGCGTAAAATAACTTATAAATACCTTTTAAAAACCTTATAAACCAATTACAAACCTTATAAAACTTGTAAATACGATTTAAAACCTTTTAAAACATTATAAAATATTTGTATCAAATTTCCAAGTAGTACCTTATAAACCATATAAAATTTTATATTTTTTTTTCATATTTAAACATGGATATTTTTGAAAATGGATAGATAAAGGAAGTATTTTTGAAAAGGGGTACACCGAAAGGGGTATTTCTAAAAAATTCTCTTTAATTTTTTATAATTATTTTTAATGTTGTTTAAAAATTCTATTTGTATCTTAATATTAACAAAATTAGATATAACATGTTGCGACATCTTATGTTTTTACTTGACACTTATCATGATCACGTGAGTTAGTAAATTTAAACCAAGTTTCGACATATAATCTCGTTTAATTGTTAAACTTAAACCATAATCTTAATTTATAAAGATAAAACATAATTCTTATTTATCATTTATATACCCAAACCAACAAATAACCTGATTTAATTGTAAAATTAAAGTTTAAACCTTAATCCTCTTCTGTAAACAAAAACCGCCATATATTCTTGTTAATTATAAATTTTAAATCCCTATCTTAATAAACCAAATTGGCATAATTGAAATTAGGTTATTTGTTTAATTTTATTAATAATTTTTAATATATAATTCTTTATAATATTGTTTTATATATTTCCTTTTTTGATAGGGTTAATAATATTTCTATTTTATCCAAATATTAACAAAATTAGTTACGACACGTGTCAACATCTTATCGTTTATAATTGACACGTGTCACGATCTTATTAATGGCTGACTTTGAAAACCAAAGTTTATATAATAAGATGCATCAAGATTATCATCAAATCGAGATACTAGATTATCTCCAAAAATACTTACATTATTAGATCAAACCAACATCATACAGTTATAGGACAACAATAATTCTAGTCCAAAATTAATGAAATTAATCAATGTTTTCATCAGTTATAAACATTAAAGGGATTGTTAACCATATAGAAAAATGTTAACCATATATAGAAAATGGTACTATAAACTGGAAGAAATCTAAAATAAAAATAGAAAATAAAAACATAACTTGCATGTAAACGACGAATCATCTTTTTTTTTTGGTTTTCTTGGGTACAACAAACTATTAACAATCTAATAATCCTTATAAAAAAAATATAATAATCAAAAATAAAAGCAAAACTATACAATTTGACTAATTTTAAAAACTCGTAAATACATATCTTCAAATAGTAAAAATTATAATCATCTTTGGGTGACTACTTCAATCATTTATAGTGGTCTTAAAATTCTAAACCAATTTCAACCTAACTATATTAACATTCTAATGATTACTTAGGTATATATCATTATAATAGTATACCTAAGTAATCTACTTACACATTTAATGCTTCTAACGCTAATTGTCTTCTCTTAAAACCTTTAGAAGATGTTAGTTTAGCTGTTTTTTTTTTTAATTAGGAAACAAGTAACCAAACTTCTCATTGTAAATATTGACTATTCAGAATTCAACAGTCTCTCGTGTGCTTTATATTTGTTGTTACTTGTTTGACTAATAAGATTATTATTAATTCCACATTTTCGTCTAATTATCTGTATCATTATGCTTGTTTGTATATGGAAAATAATAATAAAAAGAAGAATTTAATAATTTAAAAAATGACGGTAGAGAAAGGATAAAATTAGGGGAAGGAGGCAGATAATATAATTAATGTGTCCGCACACATAATATTAATATGAGAAGAAATTAATGTCCTCCCAAATTCAGATTCGGACAAATCTTCTTCTTTTTCTTCTTCCCCTAAACTATAATAATTTTTTTTTTCTCTTCTTCTTCTTCTTCTTCCTCTGTGTTCCACAGATTCTTCTCTCTCTTTCCTTCTTCAATCTACGCTTCTTCTTCATCTTTTTATTTTTTTTGTTCTTGTTGTTGTTTATTCCAGAATTCTGAAAAGAACAGTTTCTTGTAGATGTTGTTTGTCTTCATGTTCTTGTTCTTCGTTTTCTGAGCTCTCCAACATCAGAATTCTCCACATGTAAGATTTGATCAATTAAATATTTATAATGAAATTAAATAAATAAACCCTTTTGTTCATCTCGAAATCTGCATGTGTTGTTGGATTCATATTGTTTTCTATGATTTTTGATTCTTCCTAATTTTGATAAAGCTTTGGCTTTTGTGTTTTCATGGCTTCGTTTTTGGAAAAAAATAAAAAAGATTCAATTTTTCGATCCAGATTTTGTTTTTTTAACATTTCTTCTCGATTCTGTAACATTTTTTTTGATCGGGATCTATGTTTGTTCGATTGATCCTAGGTATATATATTTCTATGTTTTCCATTTTTCAATGTTCTTATACTTCCTCTGTTCTACTAATTTTCTCGGGAAAGTTTAATTTTTTCTTGGAAAAGTTTCATTTTTTCTCGGGAAAGTTTAATATTTTCTCGGTTGTTTTGTTCTCTCCAGGCAGCTTTAAGAATTGAGAAGAAGAAGGAGAAGAAATGGAATCTCTAATCGAAGAAGAAGAAGAATCTCGATTTTTCGATGCTCACGAAGAAATCACATCCTGTTCTAGTGTCGACTACGATGAATCTACACCTTTGGTTTCTGGGGAGTTTCAGTACGATGTTTGGATCAAAAGCCCAGGTAACGCTGAGGAGCGTCGTGAGAAGTTTTTGAATTGGATGGGTTTGGGGTTGAGTACTAGCACTACTACTACTGTGAGCCAACCTGCGAAATCAGGTAATGTGGATCGTTTCTCGAGCTTTGTTAACGAATCAGCGGTTTTAAGGAGTTTGAAATCTGATGATGATGAGTTTAGCTCTTGTCGTTTTGATTCTTCTGTGTTTAGTTCGAGTGAGAATGTAGATAGAGTTGTGAATGAGGGTTTGTGTAAAGAGGATGGAGTAGTAGATAGTGGAATGGTTTTAAGGAATTTGGGTGTTGGCGTTGCTGATGGTGATGGTGATGATGATGATGTTATTAGCTCTAGTCTTTGTTCTGGATCACCAACGCCTTTAATGGATAGGATTGTGAAGGTAAAAGGTCGAGTGGTTAAATCTAAGTTGTTACCAGATGTGATGGTTTCGTCTGAGGTTGCTCCGGAGCAGCGGGATGTAGGTGGGATTATGAAGAGGGTTAAGGAGAAATGGTTGGGTCGGTTGTATAAAGTGCGGAATAAGCAAAGAGCAAGAGATGATCATGGTGGTGAAGTTGCGGTTTACGGGAGTAGGATTGAGAGGGTTAAGGTGAAAGAGTATAAGAAAGAGGCTAAGGAGCTTTCTGCTCTTTTTAAAGGTCAAGAAATCCAGGCTCATGAAGGAGCGATTCTCGCTATGAAATTTAGTCCTGATGGGAGGTACCTTGCAAGTGCTGGTGAAGACGGGGTTGTGAGAGTTTGGAGTGTTGTTGAAGATGAAAGATGTGAAGAACAGGATGTTCCCAAGATTGATCCTTCTTGTATATACTTTGAAGTGAGCAAACTCTCTGAGTTGAGACCTGTGGCCATAGAAAAGGAGGGCATTACTACTGGTTCATTGATGAGTCCAAGGAAGACAACAGAGTCAGCTTGTGTTATTATTCCCCCTAGGATTTTTCGGGTTCTTGATAAACCTGTTCACGAGTTTTTCGGCCACAGTGGTGATATCCTTGATATCTCATGGTCCAAGAACAATGTGAGTTTCCTTCTTGAGTGTCCCTTTACTTTTTACATTAATGCGTAGTAACCAAAGTCTAGGTTGATCTCCTCATAAATTGTCTGGCTTCTCGTCTTAAACTTATTCAAGAATCATAAGGAGCTGATTTTTTGAATTACTTAAGAAATTTTTTTAATGCCTGTTTCGTTATGTTTTGAAATCTGTAACACACAAGAACGTAGATTCAGTCCCTGTATGTGTAATCTTGAACAGAAAACTAGACCGAGTTGCTCATTCTGTGATATTGGTGGCAGCGTCTGTTGTCAGCTTCAGTAGATAATAGTGTGCGGCTTTGGCAGATTGGTCGTGAGGACTGTCTTGGAATCTTTTCTCACAGTAACTATGGTAATGCTCTTCTCCGTTTGTACAATGGACTTGTTGTGTAATGTTTTTTTCTCCTCCCTTGTTAGTCATCATTTAATTAAAACGCCATTCTAATGTTTTCTGCAATATTGCAGTTACATCTGTTCAGTTCAACCCGGTTGATGATGATCACTTCATCAGCGGTTCAATAGATGGAAAAGTTCGTATCTGGTCAGCTTCTGAGTGCCATGTTGTAGATTGGGCGGACACTAGAGGCATTGTAACCGCAGTTTGTTATCGCCCAGACGGACAGGTCTGACTCGGAACCCAAATTTCTCCTTTTATTGATTCGACTCAGATTCATTTTTTAAAACAAGAATACTTTATCTATTTCAGGGAATCATTGTCGGAACTTTGACTAGCGATTGTCGGTTTTACAATGTATCGGGTAAATCCTCAGAAATTACACATTTGCAGTACATGAAATAGTCTTAGAAACCTGATTTCTGATATTTTTTTTTTTATCTCTCATCCTGTATCAGGCCACTGCCTTCAGCTTGATGGTCATATATGTCTGCATAACAAAAAGAAATCTTCAAATAAACGAATAATCGGCTTCCAGGTACATTTTTCTTCTCAAAACATCCAAATTTCGGCACCTAAGATTGAATATCTTTTCACAATACTTAACTAGTTCTTCGACAGTTTGATTCAACTGACCCGAGCAGAGTCATGGTGGCGTCCGCAGATTCACAAGTCAGGATCATTAGCGGGCGCAACGTTGTCCATAAATACAAAGGTAATGCTTCTAAAGGCATGCATTAGTCGAATAAAAGACTGCAAATTCTGAAATGTGTTTTGTTTATCTTGTAGGATCTCGAAATACCGGAAACCAGATATCGGCATCTTTTACAGCAGACGGAAAGCATATCATATCAGCATGTGACGACTCATCAGTCTACGTCTGGAACTGCGTCGGAAATGATCCCGAACAGCCGTCTACTGGTTTTTTCTCCTATACAAAACGACTTAAGATCCGATCTTTTGAGAAATTCTCTGCAGATGTCTCGGTCGCAATCCCGTGGTGCGGATTTGCCCCTGTAATATCAGGCGGATCCGAGCTATCGCCATCGCTCTTCTCATTAGGGAGAGAGTATGTCCTCGATTCTCCCAAAGGATCTGCAACTTGGCCGGAGGAGAAGCTAGCAAGCTCGTTTTCTCCGGTCAAGGCAATCCGTAGATCGCATTACAAATTCCTAAGATCATCGTGCCGAAGAACCTCGGAGTCATCTCATCTCTGGGGATTAGTTATAGTCACAGGCGGGTGGGATGGACGAATCAGATTGTTTCACAACTACGGTTTACCTGTTCCCGTTTGAAATCCCAACGGCTACGAGAAACTCTCATTCTCAAACATCGCCGTTTCGTCGTCGTTAGAAGCCATTTGTTTTTGGAGTTTTGTATGGGCCTCCTAAGTTTGGGCCTATAACACGTTGGTCCGCTTTTTGACCCGGTGTTTTGTAGCTGAGTCTCAACCTGAAGGTTCGGAATTTGCTTCAGGCGTAGGGAAACGAACCAAAAAAAAAGGGTTTAATCAGATTTTTTTTTTTGCCTTTTTTAAATCGTAAAAATTATTAGTAGTATTATATAATCATACTTGTTTTTGTCTTTCGTGTAAGTAATAATATATAGGGAAATGTAACTGAGGCCCGGGCTTTTTTTCGTGTAAATACCATGCCATGGTCTTGCACCGACCAAGTAAGTATTTTATGCATGACTCTTGTTCTTTAAGATTTCTCTCTGTTATGGTTTTTGTTTTCCAGAGTGAGCAAGAAACTTGAATAGTGTTCTTTACTTCCATTCAAAGACATTAGTATTCCTCTGTAAATCCATATCATTGGCTTATCGAGACTTTCACTTTTATAAACATTAAAAAGAGTTAAACAAAATTTGGAGCCGAAAAGAGAAAACTGTCTAATCCGACACAAAAGGAGAGTGTTAAAATTTTATCTTTTGCTGACGATGACTGACTCATTCGACCTCCAACGAATCGATCTCCCAAAGACAAAGCAAAGCATAATTCTATTTTGCTAGAACACAAAACATATAGCTCACATAGTTTATACCTAAAGCATTATTTATTATCATCATCAGCTCTTACTCCATTTCGATATTTGGATTTTTAAAACATTACCAATGAATGATCTCCTACCATTTAGACATCTATCTTCGTTTATTTCTTCTATTTGTTTGCTTAATGTGCTTTGCCTACTTATCATTTCTTCAACAGGTAATTCTATTTTCTTCCTTTACCGTTTTCACAAGTTACAATAATATATAACAAACTAATATGTGTTTTTTTTTGTTTTCTCACAAAAAAAAAGATGAATTGATTCTCAAATACTTAAATTTTTTTTTCTCAATTTCTTTTAGTGAAATAGTGAAATTATATATTTAATATTTGAATGTAACGGTTTATTTGTGTCATGAGATCAGGAGGAGCTGATGGTAGCATTGGTGTAAACTACGGCACACTTGCTAACAACCTCCCTCCCCCGCAACAAGTAGCCGAGTTCCTCCTCCGCTCCACCCTCATTAACCGCATCCGCCTCTTCGACGCCGATCCTCTAATCCTCAAAGCATTCGCTAACACCGGCATAACCGTCACCGTAACCGTCCCAAACGACCAAATCCCACACTTAACCAACCTCACCTCCGCCCAAAAATGGATCTCCGATCATATCCAACCTCACTTCCCATCCACAAACATCATCCGAATCCTCGTCGGAAACGAAGTCATCTCCACCGCCGATCACCTCCTCATCAGAACCCTAGTCCCGGCGATGCAATCCTTACACACCGCCCTCGTCTCCGCCTCTCTCCACCGTCGAATCCAGATCTCCACACCTCATTCTTTAGGAATCCTCTCTGATTCAACCCCACCGTCTTCCGCTAAGTTCCGGCGAGGATACAATACACAAGTCCTCAAACCTCTCCTCAGCTTCCTCCGCACTACTTCCTCACCGTTCGTCGTGAATCCGTACCCGTTCTTCGGTTACTCACCGGAAACACTCGATTTCGCTCTGTTTAGACCTAATCCAGGCTTATTCGATCACCACACGAAGCTTCTCTACACGAACATGCTCGATGCTCAGCTTGATTCGGTTTATTCCGCTATGGATAAGCTAGGGTTTTCAGATGTTGAGATCGTCATAGGCGAGATCGGGTGGCCGTCGGAGGGAGATATAGATCAGATCGGCGTTGATGTTTCAACGGCAGCCGAGTTTAACAAGCATCTGGTGGCGCGTGTTGATTCCGGTACCGGAACACCGTTGATGCCTAATCGGTCATTCGAGACTTACATTTTCGCGCTCTTCGACGAAAATCTCAAATCAGGACCAACATCGGAGCGTAACTTCGGAATATTCCGATCTGATCTGACTCCGATCTACGATATCGGAATCCTCCGGCCAAAGGTAATCAATCGCCGTCGCATTTTCGCTGTTTTCGCAAATTTTTTCATACCTTTACGAATTGTACAGGTTAGATCATCGATTCCGGAGAAAAATCCAGGATCTCCGGCTCAAGGATCGCCGGAGAAGCGGTGGTGCGTCACAAAGCCAGGTGCGGAAACTGTAGCTTTACAGAGGAACATTGACTACGTATGTGGATTGGGCTTAGATTGTAGGCCCATTAATGAAGGTGGGCTTTGTTACTTGCCGAATACAGTAAAAGCCCATTCGGAGTACGCTATGAACTTGTTTTACCAAACAATGGGAAAATACAAATTTGATTGCGATTTCGACAAAACTGGAGAGATAACTACGATTAATCCAAGTGTGTACTCTACTTACGTTTTATAAACTACAAATTTATATTTAGCTAACTAATTTTTTCTTTTTAATTACTAATACTGAATTTTAATTTGTGCAGGCTATGGAGATTGTGAATATCATGCTTAGTACCTTTTCTTTTTTGGGGTTTGGGTTTGTAATAATCAATTTTATGATTATAATTTCTTATGAAGTCTCTTAAATTAAGGAATATGGTCACTAAATTGCAAATAAATACTATGACACATGAATCCACAAACTCTGATATTTTGACCATAATCTCTTAAAATTGAAATTTTTGTATATTTTGAAGAACAAAACACTTGTCATATAATTTGATATTTTTTTTAACAAATTCCAAGTTCCAAGAGAAGAAAGAATTAAATTGGTACGTTCTCATTTTGACTAAGTATCATGGGATGATCCATGCATGCATCAATCTTGTATTTTTCAAACTAAAAGAACATTTGTATTTTTGTGGTGATACGTTACCTTAATAACTATGATTGACTTGACTCTATATATGTGTCTACATGCATGTATATCCAAAGGTAAAAGACATTATAAAAATCGATTCATATATCACCAAACACACACAGAACAATTAGATAAAAATCTGATCCTAAAAAGATGAAGCTGGTCATCAACCTCCTAATCCTAGTATCCTTCTTGCTCGTCCTCCCAATTTTTTCTTCAGCTTCAAGTAAGAGATCAAACTAATGCATTGTATTATTTCAACAATTTAGTAGCTCCATTAATGTGTAACAAAAAAATATTGTACATGAGCTTTCTTAAAGAGTTCAAAATACATGTTTCTAACTCAATTTTCTCTATATGATTTTCACATATATTTTGTTAGGGATCGTTGAGACTTCGTATCTTGACAACGTCCACCAAGAGGTATATCAAACAAACAAAGCTTTTTTTTATGAAAAAAGTGTTATAAGTTGATTACAAATATGAGTATCGAAACTAATTAAGATATGTAAACTATATTTTAAAATTGTTGATTTAGAAGGTTAAAGAAGAGGTGGTGGTGATGAAAGGAAGAAGAATCGATCTTGAACTAGACTACACTGGTCCGCATCCAAGGCCACCAGGCCCTCCACGAGCACCAACACATGCCCTATAACAAGAAAAATTAGTACCATGATCCGGTTTATTTTAAAATTCGTGATCATTTCAATTAAACTGATTAAAATGTCGTATATTTTTATATATATAAATAAAATTTCCGACGATATATGTACTACTTGTTATGTTTCCCAAAAAGTGTTATTTTACGATTATTTTTTACTAAAGTGTCATTTTTTTTTGGAAGGATACTAATGTGTCATTTACTAGTATTACAAAAGTGTTATCAATTTAAAACTCTAGTATTTCATCTTTACTAATTTTATCCCCCACCTGCTTACAATTGAAGCCACCACATGAGAGGCCACCTCCTATACTCTTCTTTTCACCATAAATCACTAGACCATTAATTTTAATAAACAAACTGTTATGAGATTAGACATTTGTATTAATCGAGGTAGTAACTCTAAATACGCTAAAGGAAATTTGGCAGGAAACATCACGACAGACAAATATGATATGATGATTAGTACATTGGTAGAGGGGTTAACACAGAATAAACGATGGTCGTGGTGGCCTAATAGATAATATCTATTTGTAATGGAGTTGCCATGAACTCAAGAGAAGCCAAATGAAGATATAAAGTCGTTATCAATTTTCTTGAGAAAGGTGAAATCATCTACAGCTTTTTTTTTTGTTGCTGATAACCAAAAAAGAAAGAAGTACAGTTATGTATTTATGATGCAACGTTTATGATACAATTTATTTTTAAAATACAACTATTTTTAATTTTAAGAGTTATTTCAAATTCTGTTAAAATTTATTAAATATGAAAAAAATCAAGTGGCATTTAAAGTAGAATTTTAAGAGATTTGTGTAGAATGTATAAATACAATGTTATTCAAATATGGACTTTAAAATTCTCATGAAATCCATATTAAAATCCACTATTATTTAAAACAATTTGTGGATTTAATTTTTAATAATTTTAAAGGATTTGAGAGGATTTCCTTAGTTAAAAATACATGAATCCAAATTTCATGGCTTCACGTGAGATTTGAATTCAGTTTATTTAATCGTGTTTTTATGTAAACGATGTAAATTAATTAAAAATTATGTTTACTTAATTTTTATGTAGAAACTTTAAATAACGCTTAAAATAAAACGAAGGGATTATATAAATTTAGTCTTATATTCATGAGAAATTGATACCAATAACCTTTTTATGATAACCTCTTTTAAAAATACCCTCTTTTTTTACCATTTTCATTTTTGCCCTCTCTTAATTTTTAATGGCTATTTTACCCCTATTTGAAAGAATATTCTTTCACAAAGGAATGAATATTCCTTCCAAAAAATTTCCCGCCAAAAAAGTTTCCGAGAAAAAATTTTCCCGCCAAAAATTTTCTCGGGAAAATTTTCCCCCCAAAAAATTTCCGCGAAAATTTTCCCGCAAAAAAAAATATTTTCTCAAAATTTTCCCGCCAAATTTTTTTAAAGGGTTTACAAGGTTTTTTAAAGGGTTTACAAGGGTTTTTAAAGGCATTTACAAGAGTTTTTAAATGGTTTTTAAAAGATTTGTAATGGTTTTTAAAGAGTTTTAGAAGCCTACAAAGGTTTTTAAATGGTTTTTAAAGGATTTACAATGGTTTTTAAAAGTTTTTATAAGTTTATAACAATTTTAAAAGGATTTACAAGAATTTTTAAAGGATTTTAAAAATTTACAGGGATTTTTAAAGGTTTTTTAAAATGATTTACAAGTGTTTTTAAAAGGATTTAAAAGTATATTTAAAGGCATACACAGATTTAAAAATAGTTTTAAAGGATTTACAAGAAGTTTTAAAGGGTTTTAGAAGTTTACAAAGGTTTTTGAAGGGTTTACAAAAGTTTTTAAAGGTATTACAAGTTCTTTAAAATGGGTTTTAAGGATTTACAAGGGTTTTTAACGGGTTTTAGAAGTTTACAAAAGTTTTTATTATATGATTTATCACGGTTATAAGTGGTTTAAAGGGATTTACAAGTGTTTATAAATGTTATAAAATGATTTACAATGGTTTTAAAAGGTTTACTCAAGTTTTGAAAGGTTTTGGATGACTTTTAAAAGATTTACAAGGTTTTTTTAAGAAATTGCGGAAAAATTTTGGCGGGAAAATTTTTGTCGGAAATTTTTTGGTGGGAATTTTTTTTTGGCGGGAAAATTTTTTGTCGGAATTTTTTGGCGGGAAAATTTTTTCCGAAAATTTTTGGCGGGAAAATTTGGCGGGAAATTTTTCGGAAGGAATATTCTTTTTGTTGGAAGAATATTCTTTTTTCATCATGGGTTATAATAAAAGAGGGTAATTTAGTCATTTGTACATTGAAGAGGGTATTTTTGAAAATGAACACCTAGAGAGGGTACTTGTAGAAAAAGGTATCATAATAAAGGTTAGTTGTGCAAATCTCCCTATATTCATCAGAAATGTATTTTGTTAGCTTATAATTTTATTATTATTATTATTATATAATCTTATTGGTTTTAAAATTCTATTAAAAATACTAGTGTACGTTATTTTATATTATGATGGTTTTGATGGAATATTATTTGATTAAAATTTAATCCAAAGTTAATTGAAAAAACTGTGACGAACCAAATCTCACTTTGTTTATACTGACACTAAAATACAATTTATTGAAAAAATACTTTTAAAACTTCTAAAATCCATCAGTTTTTATGTATATAAATTTTCCCAAATTCCGTTATTGATTAACCCCTATTAAATTTAAACATATGGAGTTTCGGAAGATAGAAACATATTCCTTTTTTTATCTCTATCTCGTAATAAGATATATTTACATTAATTGACAATTTAGTTAGCGTTGAATGCGTTTACCTTCATAAATTGTGTTTGACTACATAAATGTGTATTTATCTAATACTAGATCAAAGAAATTCTATAAAACCAATTCACAAATCACCAAAACAAAACAAAACAAAAACTGAGTTGATCAAGATGAAGCTCGTGATCCTAGTATCCTTCTTACTCGTTCTCCCAATGTTTTCTTCCGGTAAACACATCTAACAACGAACCATGTTATCTTCCTAGAAACAACACAACCGGTAAATGAACTTTATGTTTGGTAACTACTAATATGCTTTCATATTTCTTTTGTTAGGGCTCGTGGAGACTTTGCAACTCGACAACGTCAAACACGAGGTCATGAATGGTAAAAGAATCGATCTAGAGTTGGACTACACTGACCCTCGTCTAAGCCCGTCCGTCCCATCCGACGACCCTATAGGAAAAAACAAAGTACGTGTAATAGTGTTTTAGTTTTGTTTCTAATAGTGTGTATAACTGTGATGATAGAAACAATATGAGTTTTTGATTTTGTTAGGTTGTGACAAAGGAACGACCGGTGCACATCAAAGACGACTACACGGATCCGAGTTTACTTCCAATCAAAAACGACTACATGGATCCAACACCAAGGCCAGTCTTTCAACGACCGCAGCCATCATTTGCATCTCCTCCTCCTCCTCCTTCTCCTCGCCTTAAATCACTAGTCCATTAATTTTTATAAACAAAAACTGTTGTCATTAGACGTTTTGTCTTAATCTATGTCGTGATTCTAAATAAATAAAACAACAATTGGCAGAGAACATCATTTTTTTCTCTGATTAACAATATTGAGTTTTATATGATTTTGATTAAAAAGATTTAAAGACACTGTTTCTATACCAAAACTAACTACAAAAACTATGAATGCTATAGACTTGGTTTTGGTAATACAAGAACAAAGCTGTGACATTGAAACTCTTGTTGTTTCTTTATGTGTAATACTCCAACAAATAGCCAGGACCGGGTTTGTAAGGATCAGCTTCTACATAAGCCTCAGGGCGATCGAACCCGAGGTCGTTCACACGGTTACTCAGAACGTGGAAGATGGCTTTTTTGGAACCTCCGTATTCGTCTCTGTTCTTTTCCACGTACTCTGTTGCTTCAGCTGCTACGCTATTGACAAATTCGAACCGATTGTCTTCCCTCAAAAGAAGCTGTTCTATGTCCATTGTCATTACCTTGCCAACTTCTCTTATCTTCCTCACTTGTTCTTCCACAAACGGAACTCTTTGCATTTTGTAACGCAACATATCATCCTTCTTCGTCTACAGACAAAACAAGAGAATAAGAATAGAGAGGTTGTAAATATATAGAAGCAATTGATGATGGCTGCTTTACACAAACTGTAGACCAACACACTTGCTTGATTCATATGGTCAAATCCAAAAGATTGAAGAACGAAGAATCTAGACAATGGTTTAAGAAACTTTGGAGCTTAATATATAACAAAGAGTAAAGACAATGCATTGTTCTGGCTTTGGTACTTATAAATACTCAAAACTCAAGAACCTGATACGATCGAACTACGAAAACTAATAGTTTATAGGTGTAATATAAGTACCAAGATTACAGGGTATATGGAAAGCGATTTGCAACTCATACAAGACAATCTCCATCTCCTTCTCTATGCATCATACAGATTACTACCACACCACGGTTACTTGAATAAAGACTAATCAGTAATAAAAAGCCTTGTTTCTTCTAAGTTCATATGCAAAAAAATCACAGATCAAAGTTAAGCTAAACCCTAAAATTGATTCCTTGATTCCACTGGGAAAATAACCAAACAATCTCAAATTTTCTTACCAAAGTTCTCCTCCGCCAAACACGGCGTCCATTGTCATCTCTCTGAATCCCACAAGAAACCTGAAAACAAAACCAGATTCACTCAAGTTCTACCTGAATTGTAACTCGAAAACTCGTATGTAGATATCAACAAAAACCATTACAAAACCTGAGATTGAATTGTGCAGCGCAAGTTCAGGCTTCTCGTATCAGTAATCTGAATAAATACAAAATCGAATCTATATATATGAGTAATCACATCGTAAATCAAAAGAATGAATAGACTATGCAGTTAGATACGAGTGAAGAAGCAAAGGGGGGATTTATTAATTTACAGGAAAAATCGAAGAGCAGGTGAAGGAGGAAGCCATGGCTACACTTTCACAGTCCAAAGTAGATAGAACCGGAATCTCATTTTATACATGTACTGTATCTAGTAGAGTAGCCTCTCTCCGGTTCGGTTTAATTATTCCTAACCGAACCGGACATCAAACTTTCACGTGCAATGGTTTAATACTTGGATTCATCGCTCAGTCAATCTTTTCTATTCACTTTTTATTTTATACAATCAAAATATGCCACCTAATAAAATATATCATTATAAAAATAAGTAAAAATATATATTCTTATATAATTCAATTTTAATTATATATAATATATTATTGAGTTTTCATTTTACAAGAAATTATATAAAATGTATTAATTAGAAAGATAAAAAAATATTAGTCTATTTATAAAAGATATATTCCATATACTTAATATACTCTAAAGTCTATGTTAATAAAATTTCTTTGAATTATTAACATAATTTTCTTAACATAAGCTTTATATGTACATTATTACATAGACAGATCCACAGATCACTTATACACTGAATTGGTCTCTTGAATACAGGTTCATTTCTCATCGGCTTTAATTATTTTCCGGAAAATAGTAAGTCAAACAGTTGTTAATGAGAAATGAAAGAAAATATAATCATAATTGGCACTCTTGGAACTGTTTCTTATATGCTACCAACAAAGATTCTATTAGTGCAAACGTTGAACATATATTTACACTATTAATAGTATTTTATTTTTTTGTATAAAATATATATATATATATATATATATATATATATATATATATATATAAAGTTTCAAATACGGCCAACACATTTTTAAAATAGTGTTTAAATAGTGTAGAATACGAAGATAAACTAATAAGTATATTAGATATTAAGAGATGGATATACACCTTTACTTGTTCAAATTCCTTGTTGAATGTTGAATCATTCTTCTACCTCTCGTCAAAACATTTTCTTTGGAAACTTTCATTTTTCTCTCTTGCATTATACTTAGCAACCACGCCAAATATCTCATCTATAATTATATTATTAGTATTACCCTTCTCTAACATGAGTATATAATTTGTTGTTTAGACTTTTTATATATTGAGTATATATTGTTTAAATCATCGTTATTTTTTGTAATGATTTCATAACATATATTGACTACTCTGATGACATTTTTTATATTTATTAATCATATATATTGTATAAATTGAACTTTGGATGATGATGCTACGCTGCTTTTTTTTTGTCAAAAGGTTTTCTTGAATTAAAAGAATTCTATATTGTGAAGTTTTACATGGTCCTAAAAGGGTTCACAATGATAATACTAGCATAAAAAATCACCTTATTCATATATTTAAAGGCTTTGATACATTTTGTGGAGTTATATTATATATTTAGAATATTCTAATATAATTTAATTTTTGATAAAATTTAAGTGAGGCAAAAGTTTTCAGATTTGACTATTCATAAACTATCGATCGTTTATCACACTAAAAGATTAGCTATTATTATTTTTACGTTGAACCGGCTCTGAGTTCTCCTAAATTAAACAACATAATTAAGGGGAGGTTGATCATTAGTTATTGCTAAATAATTCTAGTTAATAAAAAGTTAGTGGGAACCCTCTAATTATTATGTGTTATTGTACATAGATATACAAGATAGACATTACAATATATGTAGACCTTTCCATCGTTGGTGTGCTCTCTCTCTAGTCTATCTATCACCAGGGAAAAAATGTTTTCAAGGAACCATCTCTTAGCATGTTGTATGCTCCTAGCTACGCTCATGATCGTGCATGCTCAACACACTCATGATGGCGATGATGCACCATCCTCTTACTTCACTCCTCCATCGATGGATTCTCGTGAAGCTTCTCTTCCTTCTTCTCACCGATCACTTGGTGCTGCCTATTACAAGAGATCACCACCTCCACCACCACCAAAAAAGGCTGTAAGAGAAGAATCAGGAACCCAAACCGGAATCTAAATCATTAAACGTGGAGAAAAGACTCGTAAGTTGGTGTCATGTTTTAAGGCTCTCGTCGGTTTTGTCTTTCATGTCGAACTCTGTATTTGTTTTCTCTATATACTACTCTGTGTTTGTATTACCTTCATCCTTGTTGACAATAAAGGTTACATGATTGTTTTAAGACTTAGAACGTAGTGTTTGCATTTAGTACCGAAATCAAAACACAAATTTTAAGGATGCTTATATAAGATACAAAACATTGTGTTAAGATACTCTTTTTCAGTTCTAAGATGTTTCCAATAAAGATGCTCTTACTATCATCATAGTGTTTGCTTGGACACTAAATGCATTCTACAAATTGTTTGAGTTGATTTTGGTCGTTTTCGCGTAAACTAATCGGTATCGAAGAATATTTGTTTTTGGTAGTAGTAAAAATGTAAACAAGTTGATTGGTACTTGGTAGTATAAACTTCGATTATGTACTGAAGAATAAAATTTGGAGTGAGCTTTGTTCTTGCAAATAAAATCGTAGTGAATTTGAATAAATTGGCGTTCTCTTGTACATTTTTTCAATACGCTTGTAAGAAAATAAAGCATTCACATCAAAATGTAACAAAAAGCATATATATTGACATTATATAATACAAAAATGTAATAAAAACTGGAATGTAATTTTCTGGTTTACCAGTGGAAATACAAAGCCAGCTTTCGGTTCAATACTCGTCTAAGTAAGTGTAGAGAGTATCGTCCTTCTTGGTTTTGCGTCGGCTAAGCAACGCCTTAAGCAGCCGTTTGCTCTTGCTTGGTTGGTGTTGATGCTCTGGTTCTTTTTGTGCTTCTTTCTCAAACGCAACGCGAACCGAAGCTGATCTTCTTGGTTCTGATGGATACTGAACCGTAATAAAATCAAGAATCAAAACCCGGAAAGATAAGAGTCTTGAGTGAGTGTATGAAATGTAAATGAAGCTTACCCGTTTAGGAGTTGGAGTTACCGCTCTACTCTTGCTCGGGGTCGTTGGCCGGCTAACTGATGACGGTCGGATTGCAACCGAACCAGATCTTAGAAGGGGAAACCGATGAGGTGATACTTCTCGCTTATCTGGTTTCCCAAGCACACAGTTAAGAGGGTCTGCATTCACATTAAGCTCAATCGGAAATTTCAAGCTAAACTGTTTCTTTACCTTGTTCTTTCTTTGGTGCTGTGGAGATAGACGAGAACGAAAAGGTTGCTGAACGTTGAGGTTTCCTTTGAGACGGAGACTGAAGTATTGGTTTTCTGAAAAAAAGCAAATAAACCAACCCATCAAAGACTAAAACATTGCAGTCAGATAACAAGGCAACTCTTTATGAATACAGGTGCTTACTTTACGGGTGGTGGAGGCGTTTCCCGAATTTTAGCACGAACAGCTTCAGGAAACAAGAAACAGATCAAATCAAGAATCAGGTTTGGAACAAATCTAAAATCTTGGACTTGTAGATGTAAAATTTATACCATTTCTGAATTGGTTCAAGTCCTCTTCTCCATCAAAACTACCTTCAACATTCTTCAGCTTTGCGAGGTTGCCACCTCTTTTGATTTCGCCCGCTGATAGAGAATGTAGTTTGTTTCCGTAGTGAGTCTCAAAACCGACAAATAGGAGAATGAAACTTGCAGAAACATAGAGGGAGATAGAGAGAGAAACTTACAAGGCAAGATGTATCGCTTGTGGAACTTTGGAGTCTCGATCAAAAGTGACTGCTGAGAACGACCTTCATGATCCATGTACTCTTGGCACATCCGTAGCCTCTGTACATATATAAGAAAACTCAGTAACCTAAACGAATCAATCTAAGGTGCCGTTTATAAAGAAATAACAACCAAAGCAGTAACAACAGTCCTTTTAACTGATCTTTTAGACCACCGTTTTAAAGAAAACTTTACTAAGGAATAACTGATACCTGTTCGATGCAAGACACTCGTAGTTCGGCTCCTGCAACTTCATCAACTTTTTCATCGACAAAGTCATTGACTTTATACGTCACAGACCCCAAATGGTCAACTGTATTCACCAAAGCCTTTATCGCGTAATCTTTCAGTGTCTCCACGACTCTGCATAAACACGTAACAAGCTTATAAAACCCCACTAGAAGTGACAATTAATCAGAGTTGCAAACTAGGATCACTGTGAAATAGAACAAGGAATAAACTCCCTCACATCTGTTTTTGTTCATCATTTGTGTAGGATAGTTCAAAATACTCAGCTGCTGAATACAACTGTGTTCTCAGATTTTTTAGATCCTGTAAAACAAAGATATCATATCACAAAAACATTTTACAAGAATCCTTGTCTTGCTAAAACTCAGACTAATTCGTCAAACATGGGAATATATTTCGAAAACTTTAGTAATGAATCACACGAATTAGTAAGATTATTCAACTTCAAAGTTTGGAATCTACCTTAAGACTATCAGAGAAGAGCATGCTCTGTTGCATAGAGATCTCATCGTAATTAGACGCTTCTCGGGGCATGGACATTGTAGCCGCTGCACTCATTTTGATTCAAAGATTAACTAACAATGCAATCCCAACTCCTGTTATCTCTTTCACTCTGAAAATGAAATGATCAAACAAGAATGAAGACATGATCTAAGCATAATCATAGACAATGAAAACAAACAAATGGGTCTGGCAAGAAAAATGAGAGACTACTATTCCAAGTATATAGAGTAAGGTAGAGTGAGATTGTACAGAAAACATATAGAATCAGTATGTATACTTGTTAAAATCATTGCAGAAGTTATCTTTGATCCGAAACACTCAAAAAGACTTGGTATAAAGCTGCAATAATTTGAAATTTCACTAGTTCACGCTGCTAGCATAATTGAAAGTTAGGTACCTAATGATATATAGATTCATACGAAAGCATGACTCTTGTAACTTTAAGTCCAAACAGAATTAAAAATTAGGGAATACTTATTCCCACAAGAAGATCTTTAAGTGTTTTGAATTTTAAACACAAAAGATTACATGATTCTGTGGATGTTTTAAGGTAACAACAACACGCTAAGTAATCTTAAATAAATTAAGAACAACCAGACAAGAAGTAGAATCCACAGCTCTAAAGCAACCCCAACAATTTCGATCTGAAACAAAATACAGATTTTGTCTGAATCTTCTATTATACTCTATTTCTTACAATTTTATATCAAAGAATTAGAAATTTCAATCAAATTAGCTTTTCGAGTGCCTGGTCTCATTTATCAATCAAGAACAGCAACCTTCTTCCGAAGCAAATGAAAAGACCAGTGCCAAGTTAATAATAAAAAAACCCCATAACAAAAATTTCACCCTAAAACCCTTAATCAAGAACATTGAAAAGTTTCCAACTTGCTCTACCATATGAACAAAACTCTCAAAACCCAGTTCCAAATTACCAATCATGCCATCTAAAAATGGGTTTTTCTAAAGAGAACACAATCGTCTTAACTAAAAGTCTCAACATTTTTGAACTGAATTGTGAGAAACCCTTAATCAAGAACATTGAAAATTTTCCAACTTGTTCTACCATATGAACAAAGCTCTCTAATCCCTGTTCAAAATTTTACCAATCATGTCCTCTCAAAATGGGGTTTAAAAAAAAAAGAGAACTCAATCGTCTAAACTCTAAAGTCTCAACCTTTTTGAACTGAATTGTGAGAAACCCTTAATAAAGAACATTGAAAAGTTTCCAACTTGTTCTACCATATGAGCAAAGCTCTCAAAACCCAGTTCAAATTTAACAAGCATGTCCTCTCAAAATGGTTAAGAGAACTCAGTCGTCTAAACTCTAAAGTCTCAACCTTTTCGAACTGAATTATGAGATGATAACACGAATGAGAACGAACAGACAATAATGGGGAATAAAATAAGCAGAAGAATACAAAGAAATTAACCTGAGATTCTTCTTCTCACTACAACAACAACTACAAAGCCTCTCGCTTTTTTTTTTTGTTTCCTTCCTCTCGCTGTTTAGCTCGAGGAAAACAGATTGACAAAAATGGGAATTTAAACACCAAAAAGACTCTCTCTTTCTCTCTTTTTGAGTTAAATAGGAAGGTGAACACGTACGACGAAAGAGGAAAGGGGAAGACAAAGAGAGTGATTGGAGAGAAGAAAGTGAAGAAGAAAAAAGGGTTTATGTTTGGTATCAAAGACCTCAATTCCCACTCACTTACCCACTTTTGCCCATCATTACCGGAGCAATTGCTCCCTCTGTTTTGATTTTTTTGAAATTATTTTAGGTTATTAACAAAATATTTATCATTAAAGTTTAACATTTTTTGTGATCCATATTAAAAAATTATAACGTAAATAAATTCTTAATTTTGTGTTTTTTGGTCATTTAATATCAGTAATTAGGATGAAAAGTTTCAAATGGTTTATATTTTATTTTTATTAAATATATATTGTTTTTGACAATTAATATGTTGAACTTATGAGTACTGTTTTTTTCATGGAAAATAATTTATTAGGCGTTTGGTATTGTTTTAAATTCAAAAATTTAATATTTTATCAGAAACATATCTTCTTCATTACGTTTTGTTATAAGAAGAAACCGAAAAAATAAAAAAACAGAGTAAACAAAACAATCATTATCATTTGCTAATCATATATATACGTTTCAGTGTTAAACTGGTTGGTCAACTTTAGGAACGCTTTTTCAAATATGAACTAACGAATAATATAATTGCAATAATAGAATAATACTAGGATCGTGCTTGCTCGAACGATAACGTTTTCATTTCAACGAAACATTATAGCATAATTAAGAGACTTTTTTTTGACTCTTTCCTAAAATCCTAACCCCATTAACCCATTTACTAGTTGTTATCGGAAATTCAGAATAATAGATATGAGAGGATCGAAAATCACTAATTCGTATCAATGTTATATAATCATTGATGCTTCAAAATGCTTTTGATGTTTTTGTAACATTTGGTGTTGATTTGTTGAATGATATGATCATATGAATATGGTAAGCACGTCTAATGGGGAGACTTAATTAAATTTTACGTTTTTCATTCATTCATTCGTGTGTTACTGCTCTCCTACTCATTCCCCATCCATCTATCATTAAAACTTGGTCAAGTTAAGGATAATGAGCCCACTAATTTGTTATGAAATCATCATTATCATCAACTTATCATTCATCATTGGTGATTTGGTTTATCTCTAGTTTCTCAAATTTGGATAATTAGGAAAAGCACATCTCGTAACCAACAGAAGAAACATATTATATAGCCTCATAACTAACATTTCTATACCTCCCCAAAACAAAACGAGTTATAAAGATAATAACATAGAGATACACACGCTTTATTGTGGAAACGTTGAAAACCATACATAGATCTTCAATAACCGGAATAGGAGGTTCCACAATAGCCCTATATTCCATCTGATTGGTCAGGTCAAGTCTGGTCTGGTCTGATCCGGTCTAACTCGGTGTGGTTCGATTTGTGTAGGAGTCTAGCTGACGTAGGGAGGGTCCATGAAAACCCATTGGAAAACTTGCTCATACTGAACGGCAGCGTTTTCCCAAGAATAGTTTTGGGTCATTCCTCTTCTCATTAATCCTTCCCATGACTCTCTATACTCTCTGTACGTTGCTGCAGCCAACCTCAAGGCCTGATTTATGTAATCACAATAGGGTCATTTCCATCCACAAATGTCCCCAAACTAAAAATGTATATCACAAATCCTAAAGAGAAATGGGGAGTTCGATAAACTTACCGACACCATACTGTCTTTTGACAAGGGAGTGAAAACCCACCTGAAACATTAAACCAAAAAAGAAAGATATTCATAAGAATACGAATCATTGGACTTTGATCTGTCACATTCGTTTCTCAAAACAGAAGAATGTAATTACCCTGTACCAGCACCAGCTCCACCGTCTGCATAAGGGTTGAAGTTCTCAACCGTATCCTGACAACAATTATAATCCAATTATACTCAAACCCTTTTTAACTAATAAAAATTCTCTGATTCTGAACACATTTGCTTTTGTATCTATCCGGTTTCTTGTAGATTTTTAAGAAACTCACTCTAAGTCCTCCAGTGCCATGAACGACTGGAATAGTTCCATATCTCATTGCGTATAACTGATTTAATCCGCAAGGCTCGAATCTTGACGGCATCAGAAGAATGTCACATCTGTTAATAAAATTTCAAAACAAAATGCTAATGAGATGTTTGTGACAATTTTAAGGTATTCCACAACAGCTCCTTCATATGAAACATGTAGCATGTGATAATCCAATAAAATGATCTACCTAGATAAGTTACTCTTTTAGAATATTACTTAAGTCTAAGTTAGAAAGACATTCTTATTTTCTTACCCGGCTGTGATTCGATGAGAGATGGGAACATTGAAGCCAACCCAACCACGGAATTTGTCTCTATACGTTTCCTCCATACTTCTCATCCAGCTTTCAAATTTTGGGTCACCTGAGCCAAGCATGACCTGCCATAAACCAAATCACAATAAATAGGTCAATAAAAAAGAAACATGTCTTTCACTGAAATAAGGAATATCATAATGCAGAAAACTGGTACACAAGCCAAAAAAAATTTCTGCCTCGGGATTAAGAAATGTGTGAAAACAACTGCTAAAGACAAGAGATGGCAAATGTTTATCACATCGGCCACCTGTACTGTGTGCGTTCCAGTCAATCCGTTCAAAAGACTCACTTACGAATTGAATGTCATCCACCATGAGATCAGGACCAGCGGTTTGGATCAGATCAATGCCCTTCTGATAATCAAGTCTTCCAATAAACCCAATCTGAGAAAAGTTTCAAGCCATGCCAGGGTACGTGAGCTTGAGTATAAGACAAAAATGAATTTGAAAAAGAAAAAACTTGTCTTTTGAAAACATACCATAGGACATTCAGGCCTAATGGGGAGACCCAATTCCTTTTGTAGTGCCATCTTGCACTGGACCTGCAATTCCCATAGCAGACACAAGAAGTCAATTCACCATAACAATGCATTGGATTTGCTAGATTGTGGGAACATTTATTCAAGAGAAATTTACATCACCTTCTCGGAGATATCATCAGCAGAGTAATGGAAAGGAATGTGTTCGTCTGTGGACGGATTCCACTCATCAATATTGATTCCATTTGTAATCCCTGATAACCATGACAAGAATATCAGCTTGGAACACTGTTTGAGTAATAAGAGACAGGGTTTTGAGGAACAGTGAAAGTACCATTTATAACACTCTTCCGACTAGACAGCAAGTCTTGCAGACCATATCCACCTTCAACAGTAGTGATTTCCCATGCATAGCCCTGAAATTGCGGAAAGCAATTACAATCAGAATATCAACTCACACAACTTATACTTTGTAATTCCCATTAGTGATTGTGATCCCTAACAATTAGGGATTAAGTTTACAAAGATCTATTACCTGGCTCACAGTAATGATACGGTCAGAGGTCACAATGGCACCCTTGAGAACATTAACTGCTTCACCGGTGTCAAGAGCATGTGTTCTTGCCCATGTTGGAAACACCCACCCGACAGCGCCATACCATTCCGAAGGTAATCCTAAGTTGGTGTAAGTAGCCGCTGGCTCCACTCCCTTTTAGTACAAGAACCAAAGTATGAAATGAAAATAACTTACGACCATATATAAACCTGAAGAAGAATAGATATTCGAGTATAGAGAAATGCTTTAAGCTTTTCACCTGATGAGCAAGGTTATGTATAATTAGAATGCTTCTTGCATCCTTATAAACTCCGTATGGGCGATACTTTGCAGCCAAAAGTCTGGAATAAAAAAAGATACACAATATGAGTTTTATTATAGACAAAATTAAAGCCCACTAAAGAAACCACAATCCTGCACATGTAGTCAAATTTGAATCCAAACATAAGGTAATGTGAATAAGAGAAGGTTACATGGGAACAAGTCCGGCATGCCAATCATTGACAAGGAAAAGGGATTTCTCTCCGTAAGTGAACCCTCCAAGAGGAAGCACAAGAGGGGCTTCACACGCGGCATGGCAAAGTAACGTGAACCTAAACTGTAATATAAAAAAAATGTGAGAGACGAGGCACCTTTATCATTTTTCGTAGAGCACATGATTTAAAACACAACATTCACGGAATAAAAGAAAAGCTACAATTAGAACAATAAATCTTTCTTTAGAACATTTCAACATTTTTTCGATCAGTGTAGTACCTGATTATCACCAAAGGCTCCTTTACTATCTCCGTATGGATTTCCTGGTCTATGGTAGGATTTATGATCAACAAAAACCTAACAAGTCAACAGTTAACAGTTAGAAAACTTGTAAAGAAATGGAGGTTGTCAAAAATCCAAAAAGACTTATGCAAGACAAGATTAGTGGTTACCCAATCAACACCATCTCTATATTCATGATAAAAGGAAACTTCTTGAGAACCTCCAAAGCAATTTACTGTAATACGGACCCCTAGATCCTTAGCCCGGGCATAGTTCTTGTCCCCAGCAGTTCCATTCAGGTACCGAGGAGAAATAACCATAACACGATGCCCACGACCAGCCAAAGCTATAGGCAAAGAACCACAAACATCACCTAACCCTCCTGTTTTGGAGTAAGGAGCAGCCTCGGATGTTACGAAAACAATATTATTGACAACTTCAGCTTTTCCACTCGGAACTCCAACTTCTGTAGCTCCTTCTTCAACAGCTCTGTTCCCAGGTACACCAAAATCAGCCATTACTGTTTCATCGATAGCCTCTTTCTTCTCTCCTTGATGTGTAGTTTCGTCAGTGCTAGTGCCAAAGATTTTTTGATCACCTGTAGAACAAAAAAAAAAAAATCAAAATTCTAAAATTTGAAACCGTTACTATACCTTTTTAATTCTGAGGACCACAAGCAAAATTCAAGAGAATCATTCTATATTAAGGTTTAACAAACTGAAATCATAAACCCTAAAACAAAACACCAAATCCCTAAATGTATACACAGCAGTGAAAAAATCAATCACTGTTACTAGAATGATTCAAAGAAACACTCAATCACGAATTATACCAGGAGGACTGAGCTGAAATCCAAGAACAGAGCCAGAACCATCTCTCTCAGCATCAGCGATAAATCCTTTATCATCACCATCAGACTCACCAGAGCCACCACCACCGCCGGAGAATGTAGAAGAAGAACGACGGAGCAACAACGGACGCCCGATACTAAACCTCCGGCGAAAACGAGGGAAACCGAGACTCCCGATCGGACGGGAATAACCGGTCCGGTTCAATCCGACTAGCGGCTCGAACCTAACCGCCGAGCCACTGATCTGAAGAGACGCCATTGATTGATTTGATGATCAATTCAAAATCGAAGAGAAGAGTTGAGGGTTTCTGGAGAAATGCAGATATTTTTTGGGGAATTTAAAATTCGAAAATGGATCTTTTGAGGAAGGAAGGATTGAAACCACCTGTGGCCTATCTACTACGTAAAGGATCCTTCGAACTTCGCCGACATGCTTCCAAATCTTTTAAAGTAACCCACAACAGAACAGAACAGTACACTATACCTTTTTTATTATTCTTGACTAATTACAGAAATTAAAATTTGGATCTTCTGATTAGAGAAGATAATTAAATATTTTAATTTTATTCCTTAATGTTACTCTGATACGATTGTATTTAAAATTCTTAATGGTGTTTTTATTGTCCCAAGGATCTATCTATCAGAGGAAAGCGCCAAAATGATAGAACGAGTTACGACTTACGAGTAAAAAGAAAAAGATCACACACGCTTCTTGCCGAAATTGAAGCCTCACGTTCTGCCACGTGGTAATCATCACTGGGTACCTTCACTTTTTAGGTGCTCAGCAGAAACTGGGATTATTGGGATGGGCTTAAGAGTTTTATATAATGGGCTTAGTTTGTACTTCAAATAAAATAATATAAGGCCTTATGAAAGACGATGTTTAGTGGGCTTCAGGACTATTAACAACAGTTATTAATCAAACGGTTGACTGTAGCAATCATTCTTTTTTTGAAAATATAAGATTTATTTTATTGTATGAAGAAGATTCATATTTCAATATTTCGTGTGACTCATGTAATATTTTATGTTGGTGAATGATAATATTGTAGCACTCTCATATGTCACTATTTAGTAATACTAGCTAGTATGCATTTAAACCAATATATAACATCTTTTGGATAAAACTAATACTACTACTTAACCTATTATTATCGCTATAGTGTCAATAATACACATACTTTTCAAGTTTTCATACAAAACTTATCCAAGCTTTTCTCACTCTTTTTCATTATTTTTAATATTTTAATTATTTTTTCAAAAATTATATGGATCAACTTATAAATCATCTTTCGAATGTGACATATATCTAAAGTAACCTATACTTTTTTAGAAAAATTGAAACAAGTAAAATAATAAAATACTTGACGTTGCTAAATAAATGTTAGCTAACTTTTACTCAATAAACTATCTATTTCTATATTTTTGACATGGTATAGAGCAAAGTTTGCACGGTAAGACGTTTGCCTTCAAATAGTGACCAAGATGTGGAACCAAAAATTCGCACAAGGGGATCTAACCGGAATATTGGGTAGATCCGATTGAGAAGAAGATCAGGTTACGTGATTCAGACTTTGAAGAGTGTCGAAGAAGAAAACTAGGGTTCGAGATTAGAAGATATGAGAGAATTGTGTTCTTTGTATTAATGTTTCAATGCCTAAAAATAGGGGACAAACCTCCCTATTTATATGAATTACAAGATGCCATAATCCCATGAATATAGGGGAAAATAAACCTATTTCGAATGGGAACTTGCTTCCCAAGCTATATTTGGCGACCTTATGGCCCATGATCCAAAGCCCATGTTGAATGGAGATCGAACCGTTTTAATCGTCTGGGCCTTATCCGGTTAAATGTGGTTATGTCGTTGGTGATAGACCATACACCAACACAAGAAAACACAAATAGTGAGAAGAATACATATTATGTTCATAGTTTTTTATCTTCTCCGAGTAAAAGCTATTAATTTTATATGATATTATTGTATCATTCACTACTATTAAAAAAAGTGTGTATTACATCAGATAAATAGTATCACAAAATTAAATTAAATTATTTAAAATTACTTGTTAAAAATAAATGGTATAATTTTTTATTTAACATCAATTATTATAATTAATATAATTTTATTAGTTTTATATTGAATCAATAAAATTAATACAGTTTTTATCGATTGACGTCATTTTAAAGAATTGATATAAATATATGTATTGACATCAATTAAGTAGCCGATGTATTCTTTAATTTCTGTTAAAATCATTTAAATAGTTATAAATATTTTACATAAATAAGAAATGATGCTAATTATGTGACTTACCTTCAGTTTTCAAAAATGATGTAATTATTTATTCATTTTATATCTGTTGCATTAAATTGATACTAACTATATCGGTTAAATTTAAATCATTTGGCAGTAATCAAGCCAGTTGACTTCTATTAAAATATAAAAAATATTGACATGTTATTTAAAATTTTAAATATATTATATATCTTAGTAAATATACGTTATGTGTTTAGGAAAACTTAAATTATGTGAGTGTTAACATTATGTTAATATTACCATTATAAATATATATGCTAATATTCTTGTGCAAATAATCCTTTAAGCCGTCAACTTTTGCAACTTTACCATTTATATCCGAAAAATGTAAAACAATCATATTAAGTCAAGAATAATATGCAAGGCAACTCTTATACGTATTTTCTAAACATTTTTACAGTCACATACATTTATTTTTGAAACTTTTTAAACATAGATTTGAATTTCGAGTCACGAAAACTTTAATTTAATATATTATTTTTGAAAGTTTTACAAATATAATAGTAGCCGGAAATGGCTTATATTTTATTTTTTATTTTATTTTGTACTAGGGATGGATCCGCACGTACGTGCGGGATTGGTTGCAAAAACTATGTTTATCACAAAGTTTCTAATATTTTAATCGACATGATATAAGACTCGGATCGAGTGTGAACTGAATGACTGATAAATTAGAAATCAATTAAATTTGTGAACTATCACATCACATAAACTAATGAAAAACATTAAAACTTTTGAATAAAATAACATAAATATAGATATCAGGACAGTCAAACCCGTTCACTATGCATGTCCTACAACAAATTGAAATATTTTGGTCCACCCACATGAATAAATAGTATGTCTTCAGCTTGCCCGTTACCCATAATTCCCTTTTGTATATTATTAGAATTAGTTAAGATAATAATTTTTTATTTTATAAATTACCCGTTCCCTTTCCGTTATTTCTTGTCCCAATATTTGAAATTTTTAAGTGAAACTTACTTTTGCTATTAAAATTTCATATTCTTGTATCATACCCGTCATTTGATATTTGAAAGTTAAAATTAAATTTAAGTTTCCAAATTTTTGGTATAGGCTTGTTTTTGATGAGAAATAGTTTAGATATTTTTTTTTTTTGAATTACCCATTCCCTTTTTGTTCCCGTTCGTTCTCTCTAAGATAATATCATATTTTTTTATATATAAATGAAATAATTTACATTTTAAAAAAACCAACATTATATAGCTTGTATTTAACTAATTAAATTACTCGTTCTCTTTCTGTATTCGTTATTTCTTGTCCCGATATTTGAAATATTTAAGTAATTTGAAACTTACTTTTGCTATTTAAATTTCATATTCATGTATGATACCCGTCATTTGATATTTAAAAGTTGAACTTGAATTTAAGTTTCCAAATTTTTTATATCATCTTGTTTT